TAAGTGTATAGATAAGACGGTTAACCATCTTGATAAGCCTACACCGCATGTGGCCTTCGACGCCCAGTTTTGAATGCAGCCAGATTGAAACAGTACAGTCATAATGGAGAGGCTTCAATAGTGGTAATGTGACATAAAAGAGCGCTCATTTTCCATCTTAATAGCCTCCATTAAACCTATATTTGTTACAATTAAAATTACTGTAAGTCACAAAACATTTTTTAACCCCGGGCCTTTAATGTTGCGCACAGGTCTGGTTATGCAAATTTGGTGGTGCACGCATGGCGCACAAAGCCAAAGATAGAGTAACAAATCAGGAATCTCCCTTCTGCCACTCCTGAGAGCGCTAGAGAGGAAAAAAGTTACGAATTAGGCGCTTCTCCTCAGAGAGCAAAAGGCGAAAGGCAGCGAAGCTACCTTCATTTCTTATACCTTATACTTATATATACCATTTCTTATACCTTCTTATACTTATACCTTCAAGAGACTTTTTCTGATCTGCTGCCTCTATGTTTATGGTTTGGTTAAGCAGTTCACTCATTAAACCTGCTCCAGATGCAAACCAATCAAATACAGATACGTTCCACCCTCCTCCAGTATCAAATTATTATTTGTTAATAACCTATCAGTCAAATGACTTGGACTGATGTTTAGTTGGTTTACATTAATTATGCATGTTATTCTGTGAATTTATCAACTCTTTTGGATAATGTTGGGTTAGGCATTAATAGTCTTGACTTTAATGAACAAATAGAAACTCAACATGCACAAGAAACAGGAATTACGTGGCCCTGGATTCAGTTAGTTACACTGTGGTGTATTTTTGCCCCTTGCCAGGCAACAGGCAAAAACCCCTCTGGTGTGGCGGATCCAGCCTTGACAAGACTGCACGTCTGTCTCACCACAGGCCAGTTCCATTGCCTGTAAGAGATTTTCCCTGGTATATGGTTTTCGGTCATAGACTTTCCACCACCATGCAGACAAAAACTCTTCTGTTAGGTTGAGGAAAGTGCTGTATGGTGGAAGGTCTTACTCTTCCTCATCCTTTTTGTCCAACACCTCATATTCCTCTATCTCTCATATTGTTATCCATAGTTGAGGGATGTACCCGTGCCATCTGTGCACTTCGAACTGGTTTATGATTTGTACCTTCTCATCACATAATTAGAAACAAGTGTGAACAATTTTGAATGAATGTGTGTAAACGATGACAACTGTGCTTTAGCTGTGTCTAAGTTCTGCGGTCCTCTGTTTAGTGTTTTGCAACACAGGTTCCTCAACGTGCGAATTGTGTTTTAGTGAGTGAGAATGTGTTTAGACTTTAGCAAAAAGAGTGCATGAGAATTACTAACAGAGTCTAAGTGCCTGAACTTGTTTAAGGTTTTGCAGAAAGAGTGATTTATTCGACAAATTGGTTTAGGCTATTGAGAATTTGGTTCAGAGAATGGGGTTTATTGTTTTAGCAACATTAGCAATAAACACAAAGTAAAATTAATAGTGCTGGTAATGTGAATAACTTGCAGCTATTTGGTCATACACCAAAGGAAGTTAAAACTCTGACCTGATGGTGGCACTAGCTCCAAAGCCAAGGGATCACCAAAGCTATTATAAATTGAGCTGAGGGGGCAACATGAATGTCACAGAACCAAATTTCATAGCAATCTGTGGAATAGTTGTTGGGCGAATTTTCACTAAAATCACAAATGTATAGCTCATAATGTCACCAAATGAAAATCAGGGAATCATAAAAGACTTGACGATAACTCACCCATTATTTGTTGGTGGTCCAACTGACAGCCACAGCCATCCACAGAGCTGGGACAGATGACGACATAAGTTCTTTGTTGCAGTATAATGTTTTCTATAACCTCACCCCCAACAAATGTTTCACCACTGCTGTGGTAACCTATTTTGAATTCACATGGGCTGGATAATTATGGGTATGTGCATGACACAATAACTGACTAGTAACTGTTAATTTGCTACAGTAACAACTCTGCATATTATGGCTGCTTGTTGTTGCACTGGCCCTAACAGAGGGGAGGGCAGTAACAGCAGCAGATGTGGATCAGATTTCAGCTGTGAAAACAGAAGTGGAATGAACCATCCTACTGCAGGGTGCATCTCTGTGTTTATTACAACCATCAAACACAACACCTTCATTCTGTCTTATCTTAAACATCTTATACACATATATATACATATCTTATACAGTCGCAAGAAAAAGTAATGCCACTGTTCAGTTTCCTGGTTTTCTGCATAAATTGGTCATGAAATGTGATCTGATTTTCACCAAAGTCACAAATAAACATGCAAAGTGAAGGTGAAAAAAGTAATAGCAACACTGTTTTAATAACTTGTTGAACCGCCTTTGGCAGCAATAACCTCAAGCAAGTGCTTCTTGTAGCTGTGGATCAGATCTGCACAACGTTCAGGAGGAATTTTGGACCATTCTTCCTGACAGAACTGCTTCAACTCAGCCATATTCTTAGGACTTCTGGTGTGAACGGCTCTCTTGAGGTCATTCCACAGCATCTCTATTGGGTTGAGGTCTGGGCTCTGACTGGGCCACTCCAAAAGGTGGATTTTGTGTCTCTGAAGCCATTCTGTAGATTTAATTCGATATTTAGGCCCACTATCCTGCTGCATCACCCAACTTGTTACAAGCTTCAGCTTGCAGACAGCCACCCTGACATTATCCTGTAGGATCCCTTGGGACTTGGGAATTAATTTTCACTAATGGTTTAGAATGATCCTAGGAGCTATGTTATCGGGGGCTATATGTCCCTGGTAGGGTCTCCCAAGGCAAACAGGTCCTGGGTGACGGGTCAGACTAAGAGCAGTTCAACAGCCCCTTATGA